GGACGAGTGAGTTATTCATTGGATGAGTGAGTTATTCATCGGAAGAGTGAGTTATTGATTGGACGAGTGAGTTATTGATTGGACAAGTTTACTGTAAATTGAGACACAAAATTAACATCATTAATCAGACTGTTTAATATTTTAGGGCAGAAATTGCAACCTCCTTGGTGCATTGGTTTGTCCAGATCTTCAATCACAGGTATTGATTGCTATATTGTTAATAATTCATATGTAACAATTCAGTAGCCACAATGAATTATAATATTTATACATTAGTGTGATTTTCATTTGGTCATCAATAAACTCACATTTAATGATTTCTTGTGATTTTGATGGACTACAGTCCATGCATTTTGATGAATGATTTTCATGATGATTAATCACTAGTTATAAAAATGTCTTTCTAGAGAAATCGATTTTTGGCCAGCAGCTGGCAGGCAGCTAATGCATTAACAATGGAAGACGTTTACAGATATCTTCCAAGAACGGAAATTGAGAGGTTGATATTACTCTACTTTTCTTTTAACAATGGATTCAATGATTTTTAAAATTAAAATTAATTAAAATTAAAATGAGTTAGATTATTTCCCTTCAAAGTACTTTTTCTCTTTTGACATAAGTTTTATCAGTCATGTCCTTCTAGTTGTTATAACTGACGTTATGGATGCCTCACTAAACCACCATTTGATTACATCTCTTCACAGAATTGAAAAGCTTGAGTTTCTTGATGAAGTTGATTTGCTGTTCCAGTTACTGTCACATTACTGCCTTAGTTGGGGCTATAATGACAGTTTAAAAATAGGTAAAAGAAACTAAACAAAGTTGTCAAATCAAAACACTTTAGAATTAAAACTTGATTATATACAAACTATTTTTTTATCTCTTGTTCTCTCTTTCATCCTTTCATTCATTTATATTGTTTTTGCCTTAAAAAATTCATTCATTCAATTTTTTATTTCATTTAACTTCAAATCTATCTGTTGTACGTGTCGTATTTTACAAGTTTTAATTCTCTTTTGTACTATTTATTTGCAGGTCTCTCAAGCATTGGTTTTTGACTAAGAAGCTGATAACTCTAAAAGAATTCTCAATTTCATCTCATCCTTCCCTCATCCCATCTTTTTTCCTCTCATTCGTTCCTGGTACTCAGCCTTGCCTCCTTTCTTACTCTCATCCTTCACTCTCAGCTCTTCACTTTCTTGATTTGGGCTAGTTACCTGTTTTAAAATGCACTCTAAAACTACAATAAGCATAAAACCTGTTTTTAACTTATAAAATGTTTATGAAGTTTATGTTTATGTATGAAATGAAGAGGATGTGAATTTCATAAAAGAGAAAGTAAAYATATCAAGTAAAAATTATTTAGAATATCTTCAGACTCAGATTGTAATGGCATATAAATCATGCAAAATCAACAAAACAATGGTATTTTGATAATAAATACGATACTAGCCAGATAGAATCTAACCTGAAGCACACGCTCGCCACATCCCAACCACAATGACCCCTGGG